CAGAGAATTATATCTGGTTCATACAAGAGTCTAATGAAAGCTGTGGGAACGGGGTCTCCCTGGTGGGGCAAAGGCTAAGCACAGCACTGTGAAGTTGTCCGCAGCCTCTGCAGCACAAGTTCGATCCCTGGCAGGCCAGGAGGCTGCCCACATGGCGCAGCAGACCTCTTGTGTCTCATCCGCTACTCCCCTCAGCAGTGTACTTTGGTCAGTCTGCCTGTTCTGAGCTACACTTTGTCTCTCTGGTGACTCCTCTCACCTCCCACACCTCTGACCTGTACCCCAGTTGTTGTATGCATAAAAAAAATCTTTAAAAATGATCGTTTTTGTTGTTGTCGCTTTGCTTAGTATTTGATCATTACCTACAATTTCCTTTCAGTCTTTCATCTCCGTTTCTACTATGAATTTTCCAATTGTCCTGCCTCCTTGTTGTACAGGTGTGTGCCCTGGGTCAGATTTGACGTCACTGAAATTATAGTGTCCATGGTGGTTTTGTGGGCATATGTGATCCTCTGGGCTCAGTGGGTGCATTAGACTGTTGCTGTGTAAACATGGATGTCACTGCGTAAGGGCATTCTTCTTTCTCAGAACCAGGTCTCCCCATTTTTTTAAGATTTATTTTATTTACTTATACATAAATTGGTGAGGTATGGGCCAAAGGTGAGGGTTTGGGGGGGGGTGAGAGGATTCACCAGAGACAGAGTGGGAACAGAACAGGCAGATCTACTGAAATAAACTGCTGAGGGGAGCAGCGGACGAGACAGGAGAGGTCTGCTGCGCCATGTGAGTCAGTTCCCTGGCCAGGAATCAGACTTGTCCTTAAGTGGTTCTCATAGCTTCATAGTGCTGAGACTGAACCCTAGTGCCACCATGGGGCCCCTCACAACTCTCTTTTCACTTTGTGTCCTATTTAGAGTTCTGCTGGTGGCCATATAGTAACTGTGTAATTTGATTTCAGGAACCCTTGACCTTCAGAGATGTGGCCATCGAATTCTCACACAAGGAGCAGGAGGGCCTGGACCAGCTACAGTGGAAATTGTACAAGGACGTGGTTCTAGAAACCTACAGAAATGTGGTGTCCTTGGGTGAGGAGAATATCCCTATAGATTTCCTCACCTGCCCTCAGTGTTTCCTGTACCACGTGTGGATGAGCCCCAGGGATGCCCAGGATTGTCGGATACTTTTAAGTCCCTATTTTAAAGAAAAACAGTGTGGGTTTGTTGGAAAGTCTCATGATGTTTCACCATGGCTTAAATTTCTCCTGTCTTAGGATGATCTGCAACCTGCTCTCTGTATGAGTGCTCATTCAAGAAAATATGTGACTTAAGTGTTATGGCTGCAAGCAAAATCCTAGCTTCTCTATCACATGCTAGGACTCAGAGGTGTAGAAATGGTTCTTAGGATATGAAAATTTCAATGATTTCTGGTAAAGGTGCTGTCAGAAAAAGTATTTGCAGTGATCCTTTTCTAGAACCTTCTATACTGTCCCCTCTACTGAACACAATACTGTATTGGGAATTTGAGAATCTTCAGGCCATCTCATATCACCTGTCCTAATAAACAGATCTTGCTGTGTCTACGCCCAAGCTGGTCATCTTGTTAGAGCGAAAAAATGGAGCCCTGGGATGTGAAGAGAAGTCTTAGTCTTGCTCTCCCTGGGGGCATCTCCTCTCTGACACTTGAGTCCTCTGTCTTTCCTTCTTACTGAATTGAACTTAGGTTTTGTCCATTTTGTTGATCTTTCAAAATCCAGACTTCCTTTCATAGAGAAGCAACTGATTCTTGGTCATAATGCTCTATTTATGTATTTCTTATTTTTTTCAATGTCCTCCTTTCTGCCAATATGGAGCTAAAATTGTTCTTTTTCTAATTCCTGGAGGTGTGAAGTTACATTGCTCAACTGAGATCTCTTTTATTGCTAGTGTAATTGTTTAATGCTTTAAAATTACCTCTTAGTCTTGTTTTCTGAATCACAAGTTTTGGGGAGTTTGCTTTGTTGCAATGTTTTCTCAGTATTGCTTAGTTTTTTGGAATCAAGGTACCATGGGTTTACCTCACTCTTCGTTATTCAGGGAATAGATTATCATATCCTCAGATGTCTGTCACCCCCATACCCACCACCAGTGCATTGTGGGCTTCTCCATAAATCTTTGAGTCCCCTGCCACTTTTGTACCCACCCACACCCACTGTCCTTCCCTCTTTGTACCCTCATTCTGCAGTCCTATCCCTAGAGTTTATTTTGGTTTGTATTGTCAGTTTCTTTGCCTTGTTTTTCCAAAGTCCAAATAGGAGTGAATTCATCCAGTAAGTCTTCTTCCTTCTGATTCTTTTCACTGAGCATAATCCACCCCCAGCATTCCATTGTTGTTGTTGCACAGGATAGATGTATCCCTTTTCATAGCTTAGTAGTATTTCATCCTGTCTATATACCACATCTTTTTTTTTCAAATTATTTTTCACCCGTTTGTCAACTCTGATTCCTGAATTTATAACAGTATTTTCCTTCCAATTGCAATTGGGCCTTGAACCTCTCCTTGATTTTATTGTTTTCATCTTCTGCATTGAGTTCTGTCTTTCCTTGTGGCACACATTCAGGACCTCATCTTAGTGTATAGATAATATTACAATGATTTCTCAAAACAGGTAGTTTTCTGTTATTTTCTGGGGTCATTCTTTTCATTCTGTGATGCGTTAGCCTGAGATAATATCATTAGAGTGATCCACACAGCTCCAATTTCATGATTAGTCTTCATAGAATCTAGTTCCATCCTTACATTCCACATAGTGCGCTGAAGGCTATGTTGAGTGTCATATAGGTAAGATTGAATTGGTGTTATTTTTAATTCATTCAGACACATTTGCCATTGTATTGTGGACTTTTATTTACACCAAAGTATTACTGAAAGGGAGGTGTTAACTTTATTAAAGAGTGGTTCCTCGATTCTCAGTCATTTTTTTTTTATATTTTTTTTATAGAGGCATGTTTATTTATTTATTTATTTCATTTGTTTATACATGCACTGGGTACAATCAGAAGTGAGGGAGGGTGAGAGAATTCATCAGAGCCAGAGCGGGGAGCAGAGCAGGCAGATGGTCCTGAGTACACTGCTGAGGGGAGCAGCGGGCAGCAGGAGAGGTCTGCGCGCCATGTGGGACCCTCCTCTGGTGGTCGGGGAGCAGCCGGGGATCGAACTGGTGCCTCTGAGCCCGTGGGCAGCTTTGCAACCCAGTGCTCAACCACTGCGCAACCGGGGAGGCCCTAATTTTTTATTTTTTTTAAGATTTATTTATTATTTATTCAAGCACAGGGTGCAGTCAGAAGTATGGGAGGGTAAGAGAATTCACCAGAACCAGAGCGGAGAACAGAACAAGCAGACTGACAAAGTACACTGCTGAGGGGAGCAGTGGGCAGCATGAGAGATCTGCGCAACATGCGGGACCTCGCTGGTGGCCGGAGATCTAACCAGCGCTGCAGAGGCTGCGGGCAGCTTCACGACCTAGCGCTCACCCGCTGTGCCACTGCGGATGCAGTATTCTCAGCCATTTTATACCCCATTTCCAACCTACTGCATCACTGTATATTTTTTGACCTTTTCTTATATGCTTTAATTCCTCTCTCCTTTCTTGTTGGTGATTTCCAAGCTATCGTTTGGTCTCTGGCCAGGTAGCTGAACACATGAAACAGCAGACCTCTCCTTGACTTATCTGCTGCTCCCCTCACAGGAAAGGAAATGATGGAATGAATTTACGGATTTCTTAAGATGTTTGTTTTCTTATACCGTGTATCTTATTTTTCAAAACTCTTTTATTGCTATGATCTATTTTTTTTTCTTTCTCCAAAAGAAATATTTGTCTCTTCTAGTTGTTTTTCCTCTTCTTTCGATACCTTTTGTTCTGGTCACTGTGTTCTCCCCTACGGTGATGAAAACTATCAACAATATCCTGGAGATTCCCAAATTCTTTCTTTTCTTTAATATTTATTTTATGTATGCATATAAACGCTTGGGTGTAGGCCACAGGTGCAGGGGGTGAGAGGATTCACCAGAGACAGAGCAGGGAACAGAACAGGCAGACTGACTGAAATACACTGCTGAGGGGAGCAGTGGGGAGACAGGAGATATCTGCTGCGCCTTGTGGATAGCTCCCTGGTTGGGGATCGAATTCGTGCTGCAGCAGCTGCCGATAGCTTCATAGTGCTGAGACTTAAACTCTTGTGCCACCAGGGAGGCCCTGATTCCCAAATTTCTGTTTTCAGCTTAGACTTCCTGATCTATCAGACACATGTCCAGTTGTGTGTGAATTCCAGTGTCTACCAGCCCATCATGTGGACAGCATATTAGGAAAACATTCCTCGTACCTCAGCCACCAAGTTATTGCCAAGTTCTCCTCCCCTTTGTCCTTCCATTTGAGAAGTGATGACCTGTTCTGTCTTCTTCTGACTCTGTCAGCAGAAAATCTTTTCTTAAAATTTTCTTTTATATATATTTTACATCATTTTTTTAATTTCTGCACAAGTTATGCATTTTCATCTTGGTTATAGTCCCCATACAACCCACCCCCCTTATTTTGACCCTAATCCCTCCCACCCCCAATAGTGCATCTCTGGTTTATACTTGCTTGTAGTTGAACATCTCATACCTGTGCTTTTTCCCACCTCATTGCTTGAACATTCTGGTTTCGGGTTCAGTTTTTGTTTACTGTGAGTTGGAGATACCAGGCTTTGAGGTCACAGGAGTAAAATATTGGCATAAAGTTGCACATGCTTTTCATTTGTTATGAAATTCCTTTAGCACATGATTCCGGGTGTGTGTCTGTTACACATGCCAGCCAGGCTATCAGCTCCTCAAGGAGCCAATTTTATTCATCCTTTTATTCTTAGAATCATAGACACTTCAAATACATAAGGTAAGCTATAGTTCTACTTGTAGGACCAAAGGGGTGAATGTAGAGGCGAGGCTCTTTCAACTGTAAATTCTATATAGGACCGAAGACCCACAAAATAAGATGTGTTTGCACTTGCTCTGTCTGACCCAGGCTGCCGGCCCTGAGATGAGAAATGTTCCCTCAGAAGCGATGGTGTCATTTGAAGATGTGGCTGTGAACTTCACATGGCAGGAGTGGCGGTACCTGAGTGAAGCTCAGAGGACCCTGTACTGGGATGTGATGCTGGAGACCTGCAATCACCTAGTGTCCCTAGGTGAGGAAGCTCCAGTGTAACACTCTAGTGCAATGCTGTCTTCTGCACCGATAAGTGTGCACTTGCTTATGAAACTGAGTGTTGGTGAGGTTGAACATGGCAGGCAGTGTACATTGTGGGTGTTTCGGTTTTTGTTTGGAAAGATTCAGATTGGACTCTTTTGCACAGCTCTTCACACTGCATTTGTTAGTTTTCAAAGACTGAAGTTGAACTTGATTGAAGACCAACACTGTTTCTCATCACAGGGCACTGTGTTACCGATCCTGAGGAGAGCATCAGGTCGGAGCAGGGATTACAGCCGTGGACTGTGGACGTTCCCCCAAACCAGGACCTCTCAGGTCAGTCAGTGCTTGCCAGGCCGGGAGGCTGAGAGGAGGCTGGGAGTGTGGCCAGTGATATTGGCCAAACTGAGGTGCTTTTCCAGTGTCCAACCTTGGACAGTTTGTCTGCATATATCAAACTGATTCTTTATTCAGTTCCCAAATACTACTCTCTTGTGAATTTCATACTGCTCTTTTAATGATGGTTGTCTATGTTCTTAAACCAGTATGCAGTCCCTGATACTGTGGGGATTATTCTGCAGTAATCACATTTCTCTGTTCTCTTAGTTTATTCTCATAGACTGTTTTCTTTAGGTAACTGTTGAGGAATTTTTTTATTCTTTCCGTATGTTTATGGGAAGTTTAACCAGTGGTAAATTTTCTGAGAGGGGGGAGCAACAGTACTCACAAAAATGATCTTTACATTCTGAAGTTATACATTCTGTGAGGAAAGAATATGTAATAAATACATTTATTAATAGAGAGGTAAAGCCACAGAGGATGTTTGACCAGCATGAGTGAAACAAAGTGGAGGATATTGTTTTTGTGTGTGCTCCGTATGCATCATTATAGAGATTAATTCTTTTCTTTCAGAGCTCAGGTGAGGTGAATGGGTTGCACTGACATGTCATATCTATAGTTCCCTCTGCAGACTGGGGTAGAGGCTATGTATTGCTATTGGAGATGTCACTGAGCAGGTGACTAACTCAAAAGGGATAGAGAGGCGTTGACTGGAGAGTTATTTAGAACATGAGTAGTGTTTCAGGGGCAAGCCTTGTGACCGCCCTCATAGTAAATGTGAGGCTGAGGAGAACCCAGAATTGTTCAGCGTTGGAAGGGATGTTCTGTGACATGGGAGGAGGAACCTGAGGTGGTGGTTTCTAAAGCCATGGCACCAAGAGTTTCAGGTTGGGGGCTCATACCTTGGGGAGCAGTGTGACCTGTGCAATTCCACCTTCTCGTGGGAATCGTTGGGAGGAAAGTAAAGGAATCGACGACAGTGTGATGTAGCTGAGAGTCACACACGACATAGAAACTGGAGCTGCTATGAACAATGCAGAAACACAGTTTCCAGGGAGTGCGTTTTGAACACCAGGGTGTTGCTCTCAGAAGGATGTGAGAAAAGACTTTAATGCTGATAGCACAGGATGGATGGAGAACTTTTTTCCTATCGCTTAGCAGGGACGTGGGACACAATGATGAGGCGGAGTTTGCTGCATGTATTAGGATTCTGAGCCTTATGTGATATGATATTTAAATATGAACTGACTGGTCTCTGCCGTGGAGGGAAGCGCATGCCTCTGAGACCCTCTGCAGGTGACCGTGGCCCGGGCGGGTTGAAAGAAGAACTAAGGAAATGGAGAAGCAGAGTCCTTGTGTCTCAACAGGCCTCTTGCTTGAAGTGCCTGGGCAATGACTGAGTCTCTCAGTCCACAGGTTTTTGCGAAAGCCATGTCCTCTGCAGGGCTTGGTTATTCAGAAAGTACCCGCAAGAGCTGCACAGGTTCAGTCTAAGAAAGTGTGTAGGATCTATGTTGGGTGAAATGCTTCTGGTTGAAATCGACAACTCTAGTTAAAATACTATATTTACCAAATATTTATGATTTTATAAAACCATTATGAAATTAGTTTTACTGCTTTGTTATCCTGGTTTGGCATTAAAAAAAATCTGTAATTGGGGCCTCTCTGGAGGCCTAGGGATTAAGTGTCTTAGCTCTCACTGTTATGGCCTGAGTTTGATCCACAGTGAAGGAGTTCACCGACTTTGGCGCGGCAAATCTCTCCTGTTTCACCCGCTGCTCCCCTGAACAGTGTATTTCAGTCAGTCCGCCTGTTCTGGTCAACACACTCCCCTACAGCACGCTCCCCTACAGCACCCACACTCCTGCATCTCTGGCCTACACCCCAGATCTCCTATGCTAAAATAAAAATACCAAAAAATCTATTCTCCCCATAATTTACTATGGGCAAAAAGCATGAATCAGAAAATCAATACCTGTAAATTATGTTGTAATATAGGAACTTTCATGCCGCTTAGTAGTATTCACTCAGAATGCTTACTTTTTAGAGACATGGCCATTTTTATCTCACTTTAGATGTCCATACTGTGGATCACCTGACTCAGGACAGCCCTGCAAATCAGGGCAGACATGTGTGGCAAGTTCTTACCACCAGCAGCAAAATACCATCCAACGAGAGAACTGACTTAATGGAAAAAAGCAATTTGCACTCAATTCATTGTTTGAACCATAGTATCAAAAATGAAAACAATTCAGCAATGATGCCTGAGAACTTTACTATACATAGGAACATGATGATCCCTGGTGAGCCTCATGAAGGGCATGCTGTAGAGAACGAGGAAGTCTTTTGTAGAATGAGGGAACCCATCAAGTATCCTGAGCACCTTAGTCACCAGGTGATTCAGAACTTTCAACAGTCTTTTGAATTTCCTGAACAAGGAAAAGTCATGAGTGAAGAAACAGTATTTACACCTAGAGGAGCCCTTCTGGAAAGGATTGTCCGTAAATGCAATGTGTGCAGGGGCACCCGTGATGAGGTACCTTTCATTGTCCGAGACAGAACCCAAGGAGGACATACTTGCTGCAGTTGTAATGAAAAGGGGAGAGCTGCAGAGATGACTCCAGTGCATTTGAGTTCTCCTAGGTATGTTGAACATGAGCAGCAGGAATGTTATGAAAGTGGGGCCAGTCTCAGAAACACATTTCACACCTATCCTCGTGAGAGTACCCAGTTAGGAAAGAATAATTTGGGATATAAGAGATATGCTGAGCATCAGAGAATCCACAGTGGAGAGAAGCCTTATGAATGTCAAGAGTGTAGTAAGACTTTCCAATGGAAATCATACCTCAGTCAACATCAGAGAAGTCACACTGGAGAGAAGTCTTATGAATGTCAAGAGTGTAGGAAGACTTTCCTCTGGAAATCATCTCTCTGTCACCATCGGCGAAGTCACACTGGAGAGAAACCCTATTATTGTGAAGAGTGTGGGAAAGCTTTTTCTAGGAAGTCATCCCTCAGTGTCCATCAGAGAAGTCACACTGGAGAGAAACCCTATGAATGCAAAGGGTGTGGGAAAGCTTTTTCCAGTAAGTTTTACCTCAGTGAGCATCAGAGAATTCACACTGGAGAGAAGCCTTATGAATGTCAAGAGTGTAGGAAGACTTTCCAGTGGAAATCATCCCTCACTAAACATCAGAGAATTCACACTGGAGAGAAATCCTATGAATGTCAAGAATGTGGGAAGGCTTTCCGCCAGAAATCATCCCTCAGTAAACATCAGAGAAGTCACAGTGGGGAGAAGCCTTATGAGTGTCAAGAGTGTGGGAAAATTTTTTCCAATAAGCAAGCTCTAACTGGACATCAGAGATGTCACTGGACAAAATCCCTATGATTGTGAAGAGTGGGGAAACTTTTCAGGAAGTCAGCCCTCACTAGGCATGACAAACTTCACACTGGAGGGAAATGCTGTGAATGTCAAGAGTGTGCAGGCAGGCCTCCCCTGGTAGTGCAGGCAATTGAACGCAGCACTGTGAAGCTGTCCGTGGCCTTTGTGGTGGGAGTTTGATTCCCTGGCCGGCCAGGAGCAGCCCCATGGTGCGGCAGACCTCTCTTGTCTGGCCCGCTGCATGTATTTCAGCAGTGTATTTCGGTCAGTCTGCCTGTTCTGTTCCCCGCTCTGTCTCTGGTGCACCCTCTCACCCTCCCACACATCTGGCCTGTACCCTGGTTCTTGTATGCTTGAATAAATAAAAATCTTTTAAAAAATCTTCAAACTTAGTAGCTCAAACCACACCATGCAGCTGAGAGCAATGAGAACTGACATAGAGTTTCAATCCTAATTGTGTGGAGTTACCTGGTTCACTCTGTTCTCCCAAGTTCATGCAGTGATGATGTCGCTGTTCCTGTGCTGTTGCTTCTAGTATCCTCTTAAGTTCCTGGGCGATGCTATGCCTGTTCACAGCAGCTGTCTGTCTACATGGCACACTGCATGTTGCGTGGGTAAGTGATCTCTCTGGGTTTTCTTAGTCGTCACGTTCTGTCCAGTACTCTAAGTCTCTGTGGTGCCCCCTGATGCTGGAATTGCTCACCACCAAAATGTCCTCCTCTAGAAGGAAATGTTGAACTGTGTGCTATCGGCTATAGGTTGAGGTCTGCAGCTGTCTTTACCTACCTTTCATGGTGAAAGTTTTTCGGGGCCTCCCTGGTGGCCTCGGGGTAAGTCTCAGCGCTATTGCCTGCTCAGGCCAGGGTTTCAGCCCCAGCTAGGGAGCCGCCCCACATATGGCCTCAGCAGGCCTCTCATGTGTCACCCGCTGCTCCCATTAGCCAGGTATTTCATTGGTTCTGCCTGTTTGTCACCACACTCAGTATCTTGTGAATCCTCTCACCCCCTAACCTCTGGTCTACACCCCAGTTCTACATACTAAGGGAATTTTGTTGGAAGATTAATTCTGCATGCAAGATCTGGGGTGCAAGCCAGAGGTATGAGGCGGTGAGAGGATTCTCCACAGAGAGAGTGAGGAGCACAACAGGCGGATCTACTGAAATCCACTGCTGAGGGGGGCAGTGGGGACACAGGAGAGGTCTACTGTGCCCATGGGTCACCTCCCTAGCCAGGGATCAAACTCGTGTCTGCAGTACTGCGAACAGCTTCATAGTGCTGAGACTTTCACCCCCTCTGCCACCAGAGGCCCTGAATTTTTTTTAAAGGAAAGGATTCTTGCCTGTTAATTTTTTTTTATTAAATCGTTCATCTTTGTGCAATATTGGATTGCTCCCTTCTGTATAATTTCTTGCAAATGTCCTGTCTGCACCGCCCTGTGACCTGTCACCCCAGGCTCTGGTGCGCTCCTCCCCTCCTGGCCCCTTCTTCTGCCCCATCCCCTGCTGGCGTCTCAGCTCTGTCATATGCCTGCTAGTTTTGTCTTTTTTCCTGACCCTTTCTTCATTCCCCTGTATTCCTCCCGGAGGTGATGATGTAATCCAGGTCTTTTTCCTTCACTCTTTGTTCAGAACATAATCCCTTACGCCGTTGCTGGCCGTGCCCTGAATGTGGTCTTTGTCTGAGTCAGTTCATACCTTGGGGTGAGTGGTCGGTGTGGAAGGTGGTGGCCGAGGAAGTCCTTGATGTCACTCTCGCTACCACTCCCCCCCAGGGGCCCCGGGCACCTTCTGGTGTGTTCTTTGGGCGCCATGGTAAAGCCCCAGCGAGAGTTTGAGCAGCAGGCCCAGAGTCTGAGGCCTCGGGTGTGCTCTTCCTCATTTCTTGTCTTTGTGTGAAAGTACTTCCAAGTGGAGCCCAGAGTTCCAGATGAGCCAGAGATTTACTCACAGGAGTAAGGACAAGAAAGCTCCCTGAGCAGAATGG